TGCTGCTGGTGGTGGTGGTGGTGATGGTGGTGGTGGTGCTGCTGCTGCTGCTGCTGTTGCCGCTGCGGCGGCGGCGGCGGCGGCGGCGCGCCGTAACCCTCATGTTCAGCGTGTCGTTCTTGTCTGCCCTGCCCTCGTTATCACTGATGTCCGCATCATTGTTGTCTTGCTCTTTTGCTTTGTAAGCTTGATGCTCAGGCCCACAAAAAAAGACACCATACATCTGTCCATGGCCCACACGCTTTCTTGCAGCGCGCAGAAACTTCAGACTGGATGTTGGGACGCCAATGAGGAGCAAGATTCCACCCTCGGGTGGGATCTGGATTCTCCTTGGAAGAACAGGAAGACATTGTTTCTCGTAATGCAAGAAAGCCTTACTGCTACGCCATCTCTACGCCCACAACCCTACGTCCCTAACCCCGAACCTTCACCGCCAAACCCTAAACGTTCTTACACGTCTGCAAATGCAATGAGCGGATTGGAGCCCCAAGCCTCAAAGCCATCCTAAATCCTGGACCTTCACAAGACTCCGTGAGGCAGCTGAAGGGTCCCGCTACCGGCCAGGACGTCATCGGCTACTTCTGGGCAGTGGATGGCAATGCGAGGGGTTTTTAATGGGATGTTGTCAAGAGCTACCCAATACATTTTGCAAAGGTGGCAGGAATCTCTTATCGTCTAGGGGCTGGACTGCTTTTGACACACCCGACTGTTCGAAACTTACCAATGGGCAGTGGGAATGGCCACATCTTGCCCGCAGGATATGGTTCGCCTCATCAGCATTGCTCTGCATGAAACTGGGCTGTTGTTGACTTACGCTACGGATTGTTTGTGTACCTGAAACCAAAAACGAATACAAGGATGGTCTCATCCCTTAAGCCCTAAATCACTATCATCCAGCATGCCCCTGGCGAATCCTAGCTTAAACCCTAAAGCTTAATAACCCCCCAATACCCCAGCAAAGTTATACAACCTCCATACCCTCAACCCTGAACCCAAAAAAACCCTAAGCCCTGAACCCTAAGCTCCAAACCNNACCGCCCCCCCCCCCCCCCATTTCCCAGGAAAACTGGCGGGCTGGATGTTTCGTGGAGCGGCTGCGGCGAATGAACTGCAAAGCCGACGAGATCCAGGCCCAGCCGTGGCTTTCCTCCCTAGCTTAGGATTTATAGGGTTTAGGG